CTTTAAGAGTGAGTGTCATGTGGTCAGTCATTTATTATGCACTTTATGTGATAATCCATTAAGTATCTCAACAATTGTTCATGTGCATGCTACAAATCCGTAGTTGCAAACCAGAGATGGACCACCCTGTCTTAGAAAGGCAGCCTCAGTGCTGGGTATAGATAAAATGAAGTGCACTCTGTAAGAAATTTAAGGATACTAATTAAGGCAAAAGTTATTGCATGGACATTGTGTCACTCAGAGCTATAGATATTTTTCATTTCGGTTGTTTTAGAGTATTCTTCTAATATGACTAAAGAGTGTAGGCCTGATCTTGTTTTTATTATGCTCTCTATTTGAGCAGACAAATCTATTGCTCATAAAGTCTGCAAACTGAGATGGGAACTACTAAGTCCCTCCTGAGCTCCATGAACATCATCATAAATGGCATCGTATTTTTTTATATATATAAATAACCTTTTCTGTATGCAGCACAACTTCTTCCGCTTCAGGTAGTGCCACCACAGTTTTATTAAAACAGAACTCCTGGGGAATATTTGAGGAAGACAGAAGTTTCATCTCAGGCAGGCATGCAGGTTTGCACCTTTGTAAGAAATGAAAGAGCTTGAAAGGAACTTTCCAAAACTATGTGAATGAGAGCCCTGGGTTCTCAGCCCTGCTTCCAGTGTTGACCAAGCAAAAGGAGGTTGTTTTTGTTTATTCTCCTGTTGACTCTGGGAAGATTTCATCTCTCCCTGCACAGTCACCAGGCTACAGTGGGAGGAATGAGGAAGAGGAGGTGAAGGTTTGAACCCAAACAGGGTGAAGAGAGCAATTCCTGAGTGCACACTGTAAACCCTTGTGTGCTAATATGCAAAACTGGAGAATCATTTCTTCCTCCTGGTATGTTTTTGAAGAAAATTTTGACTGAATTCAGTGGAATCTGAAAGTGTATGAGATGTGTTCGTGGGACCGGCCCTTTCAGAGCTGCGGTGCCTTTACGTGCCTGTCTCTGAGTCTCACAGCAAAGGTCAAGCAAGTCACACACATGAATGCCAACACTGCAATGGCTGCTTGGATTTAGACCTAACACAGGAACATTTGGTGCAAAAGAGAGATAGTGATTTTTGGACTACATCATGCTGAAAAACTGGTGTTCAAAATCACACTGAGATGCAGGACTGATTTATCTTGCCTACAACCAGTTGCCTCCAATCAGTCAACTGAACTTCATCTTCATTCACTCTTCCCAGGCTTTATAAACAGTCTTTTTTTGGTCCTAAAACTTATTCAATGAACAGCCAGCCATAACTTTGCCTGTACTTCTTTTCTCTCTAATCATTTTTTCTCCTCCTTTTGAATAGATAACCTCATTTTCTTCTTAGAGACTATATAAAGGGGTTTTTTATTTGTTAATTCTGTTTTACAGTATTCAGAAGGGTTTGGCATTCAGCAGTAGATAAATAGATGAGTTTATTATTGTTCACTTCCAAAACTGATTGAATATAAATTCCTTATCATTACCTTTCAAAGATTGTTTATAGTACTCTTACAGTTTTCAGAAGGTAGTCCCATTTTTCCCGATTTCCTGAAATTCGCATTTTTCTGACCTGCACTTTTATTCAACAAAAATGAGATACCCTCTTAAAACCGCAGAATCAAGGAGAGTGAATCCACAGAGGACACTTATCGTTCAAAAAAAAGATAAATTACTCCTCTACCATTCAGCTGTCTGAGGATAACTTCTCCTATACACCCACACACTCCCTTGGGCCCCTGCACGGGATTGTTTAGGTGTTTTCATTAGAAGATAAATAGAATTAGAGTGCACCATTTATAGGAACCATTTAAGTGGCATCAAAGGTAAAAATACAGCCATAATAAAGAAAATGTAGTTCCCTTGGAATGGTATTATCACTTGGTTTCTCTCTACACATATAATAGGAATAACCCTGCGTAACTTTAAAAATTGGGTGTGGTAAACACAACATCCAGAAAGTTGTATGTCATCATTTCCCACATTAGCTGCAATCTGAGGCAATACCTGGATGAGGAAAGCAATTATGTCATCCCAGTTGTACTCCGTGCTGCTTTGGGATAAGAGCACCATTACCTGCCACCATCAGTCCGCAGTTCCCAGCGTATTAAAGCTGTTGTTCATACAGATTCTTCTGACATTCTGAAAACTTTGATTTTTTTGTCGTTAAAATGTCTCTGTGTACTTAGGCAGGCATTTTAAAGTGCAGTGGCATGTTTGGCAAGTCGGTGACATATCTGTCAGTGACAAGCAGCAAGCTTTATCTTGTGAGTGGGCACCTTCCTCAATGTCATGGGATTAAGATGTACTTATAGTGAAAAAATTCTACATTTCAGGTCTGAGTATTTGCTAAAAATAACCTTCCAACTACAAACGGGTGTAGTCCCACCTACATTTATCCACCAGATAACCTAAGATAGCAATGGAGTGTTGAACAGTTTATGAAAGACATGAACTACCTCCGTTCATCCCAGTGGCTCTCTGAATCCTGCCAAATTCCCAGTGCCCTTGCTTCAATGCTTCAAAAGCAACTGAGGCAGGGGAACATGTGGCAACGTGTCTGTCCTCTCAGCTGACAGCAAAACAGTTACACCTGAAAATACAGGCTCAAATTGATGGCCTTCTCTTAAGCAGGTTACAAGCTCAGAATGACCTGTCTATAAATAACTAAATCTGCAATGAATTCAGCATGTTTCCCCAACATTCAGTGAGACCACATGTATCTTATTACTCAGTGTATTCAGACACCACTGAATAAAGTCCTCCAATTTTTCATCATGGAAGCATAGGAAAGCACCTTTGTTCAGGAAAAAGAATTAAGCAAAAACTTTACTCCAACTGAGAAGTAAGCATACAATACTTAAAATTGAGCAGGTGCTAAAGTGTTTGCCTGAGTCATGGGACATCCTGCTCGGACGCATTCCCTGATTTGCTTACATCTCAAATATAAGAGTGCCTGGCGTTAATCTGTCTGGGGACTTAATGAACACTGACCTACAATTCACGGGGTGCTCCTCCACACCAGCTCCCTTTGTGGACACTTTTGACACGCAGTTTGTGAAAGGTAGTTTGCCACTTTTGTGTATTTGTAACCTTTCTTGTTCAAAATAGCTTCCCTTTGTAGACAAACATTTAATTTTATCACTAAATACTATTTTCTTGATCTTGCAGAAGACTTCTTCACACCAGATGCTGAAAGTGCTTGGACTCCTAATGAGGGGGAAAAAAATAGATCATCTGGCTATAGTGTTTGGATGAATTGAACTCATTGTGCCAGAAATATTTTAAATTCTCATAAAAGTCCCAGAAGTGAAGCACTTAGGCTGGAAAACAATAAGTGAAACCACAAATATAGGGGAAAAAGGAAAGAACCTACAAATATGTAGAGTATGGCATGGCAAACTGTTAAATTATCCTATTAATTGGCAATATCTTTAGACATAGATGTGTTTAAAAACTGTTGAACTTGCTTTGTTGGGATCTTTGTTACAGAACTCACTGGTGCATGACAGTGTGCTCCAAAAATGCCTTCCCAGATTTATGTGGAAAAGTACTTGCGAGAAAAAGTATCTCTTGTTGAATGTAGTGTTTTAATACCAGAAATTTGCTGCCTTTTCTTTCCATTATTTTGTCAGAGCTGCTTGATTTAATCCAAAGGGACAGAATTTTTCAGTGTGTTAGAGATTTTTATTTTTTTTTTAATAGAAGTAAACCAGGTACCGTGTTATTTCGCTTGCGTCCTTTCTTCTGCTTACTGATAAGTGGCCTGATCTCAATCCTACTGAAATCACTGAGATTTCTGATACTGAATAGAATGAAACAGGAGCATGCCTGTCACCAGTTTCCATCATTACTCTCCAGAAGCAGGTTTATCTGTGTGGCAGAGCCAGGATAGGTGCCAAAGCACTCCCAGTCATTAGCACTGTGCAACTCTAGTGAAGAGCACGACTTTCCTAACTTGGGCTGTACTTTGCCTGCTGTTGTCTCCTGCCTAATCAGCCCCTGTGTTGGCAGAGTTATTGCTGACGAGGTGGACCACTGAAATCATACATCTTCGTTTTAGATGTTACGAACAGGTCCTTAAAACCATCTGGTTTGACTTGTCCCGTGGGTAGGACTGATGGAGAAATTAGTCCTCGATGACTCCCAAGAGGTGCTTTTTTATACTGTCCCTTCTTATCCAGTAGCCCCAGTATTCATTCTGAACTACGAAGTGGACTTTCAAGATGAACTTCTTTTAAAATAAAAGGCCTGTATCTCCAACTTGAAGCAGAAGTACGTCGTTCTAGGCTAAAAGAAGTGATCTTGTCCTTGGTTTGTTACATATAGGATCACCTGGGAGACAATATAAAATGGATGCAGAAATCCTCAACATCAACTGCAAAAAAAAACCCCATAAAGTGTTTGTAAGCAATTCAATTGATTCAACTGTAACCTAAAATTTGGATATAAAAGCATTTTATTTGAGCAGCCTTTCTCAGAGCTATTTCACTTTACTTTTTCCAGGTGTCACTGATGTGATGCCTTCCCTTTTTTTTTCCAGCTTAATCTGTTGGGTCAAACGATGAACAGATGAAAACAGCAGAAGAATCTGTCTTCTTCTGCCTCCTTTCAAAGCACAAAGTAGCTGTGGGCCTCAGTTATGAACGTTGCCCAGATCAGGGCCTGGAATAGCTTTTTTTTCGCCCCCTACAAAAATAATGAGCTTGATGAGACCAAGGCAAGAGGAAGCTCAGGAAACGTGTCCCATTCTCAGCTTGCACAAACCAGTTCTTCTGCTGGCCACAGGTGGAAGAGGCAGACTTTATTTTCTTTGTTTTCTTATGAATATCCCTATCTTGCCCAGTCTTTAACTGACAGTAGCAGAGTACTATCATTTCAACTAGGAAAGCAGAACATTAGTTCGTATAATTTTTTAATCGCTTAATAATCATGTAATTGTTGCCTTAAACACTGTTGTACTTAGACATTCTGTCTTTTCTAGGTAACATTTCGGACAAGAATCTACCACTGTAATATTAACAGCCAAGGCGTCATCTGCCTGGACATTTTAAAAGACAACTGGAGTCCAGCGTTAACCATTTCTAAAGTTCTCCTCTCCATCTGCTCCCTCCTCACAGACTGCAACCCAGGTAAGACAAATTAACTTTCGTGTTCGCGTTCACTCACAGTTCATAATCAGTCAGCTACTAGGACGTGGCCAGTGTGCTGTTTTACTGCTACCTACTAAAAAAAGACAAAAATGTGAATTTTAAATGCCATTCATTTAAGTTAAGACATAGTATAGAAAGAAAGCACAATTTCAGGAGCTCAAGTGCATTTTTAGTACTTGAGAATAAGACTCTTTTAATTCAGAAAGTTTAATCAGTAGAAAATACCCTGTAGTAGGCACTAATTTGGATATTACAACCAGGATATAAGTACCAAGAAATATTAATGAGTTAATAAATATTGAAAAGGAAAGCTTTCATTTAAATATGCTGATAATATGGTCTCTGAAAAGAATATTAATAGTACTGACAATGATAGATGTCTAGCACAGACTCTACAAATAATGAAGATTAATTTAAATGAGGTTTATTCAATATCCTGGACAGCCAGTATGAGTATTCAAAGCAAGCTGTCATTCTTATTAACTAGCATGGCACTTAACCTCTTCCCTCAACTCTTTTTAGATTTGTTTTCTGCCATTGACTGCTCGATCTGTAATTTCCACTTACTCTTACCCTATTTACCAATGAATGATTCTGACTGTAGCCTTGGAAAACCATAGTATATAGAAATTATTAAAGAATCATTAAAGAAAAATTAAAAGATCTGGTTTGGTTAGTTTGGTTTTTATTGTACCCTTCAATATTTTTTTTATTTGCCATGTAGTTTTTAAACCTTTAAGTTTCCTGTTTTTAAACTTTTCTCTGCAACCAAAGGGCTAAAAATTGCTTTGCAAAGGGCAGAATGTGAAATTGTTGTGTAATCAGGGGCTGAATCAAAAGCTGTAACGGAAGATTGAATTCTTTGAAAGCTCAAAATAAGGTGAAAGTGGGCAAAAATGCAATTGACTGTTTTTATTTTCACGTGGGTTTGTTACTGTGTATAGCGTTAAAACCCATGGTGTTCCTTCCAGCTAAGAGCTGGAGAGGTAGAGGAGCCCTGTGTTACCATTTCAGGTACATTTATTTCAGGTGTCTTGGATGCTCTCCGCTTACATCTCTGAAAGATTGATTTCTGGTAGTGTCTACTCCAAAATACGCAGAAGTGCCTGTATGAAGTCAGGCAGATTGATGACAGAAGCGTAAAGAAAAGCAAGTTAATATTTCCTCATGTGTCTTAGAGACCAGATAAAGAGCTAGGGACACCGCAGAGCTATGTTGGGATTGAGAAACTGGCAATAAGTATGTGCTCACCTCTTTGGGGGGATACAGTCAACCTGAAAGCTGGCCACGGTCCGGTAGTGATTTGAAATGTAGGGGTTTACTACCTCTGCCCTCTCAATTGTTTTCTTTCCCTTAGACTATTTTGCAAATGCTGTCAAACAACAGTGTTAGCAGACCAAGTGTGTAAGAGGAACACTGAAAAGAGTTACCCATACTGTTTGGACTCCAACAAGGTCACGTACTAAAAATAGGGGGTTATTCTTACCTTTAGTTTCTTTCAGTTAGCAGCCATAAGCATGTCCTGACCATAGTAAATAAAACAATTTTATGACATTTCATTTTCAAATGTTCTCTTTCATAACAAAGTAGTTTGGAAGTTTGTTACTGCGTGTTAAAATTTTCCTATGATTTTTTGAGGAATGAATGCAGTTTCTTAATTTGTGTTGTGATTTCCTCTCTCATGAGGTGCTGATGGCAGGTAGCTGTGAACTGCTGAGTCATTTTTGCCTTCCTTTGAGATTGCCTGTTTTGTATTAGATACTTTTTTTATTAAAAAGTGAACTTTGAATGTTCGTGATGCAAAACAGAAGGCTAGCAAAAACTTACAAGTTCTTACTTTTCAGCGTACTGCCTAATACGCTACAGCTTGTTCTGGTTGTACTGCCTGTCCCATTATTTTTTGGTGACATTTTTTCATTAACAAATGATTGGTTCCTTGCCATCCAGGTTGAACGTGATGAATGGATGGATAGATAGACAGACAGATAGACAGACAGATGGACAGATAGATAGATAAATAGAGATGTGCATCACTGATACATATATATCTCACTGAAATATATCGCATATATGTATGTACATATATAGACACAGAAGCATGCATATATGTATTTTCCTCGCTGTCAGCTGGGAGTAATTTTCTAATCCCTTGGTCCTCTCTTCGTCTAACTAGCCTGCCCCTTTCCAAAGGCAGAAACCCAACAGGGGTCTCGAGTTGATAAGCAACTTTGAACTCTTTGTTCACTGTTCATCAGCCAGAAGCAGATCAGGTCAAATGGAAAGGCAACACTGAATCTCCCACAAACATAAACACTTGGGATGGGTGAGTTTCCCCCCCTCCCAGTCTTTCTGAAGGGAAAAATCAAGTATCAGTTACCCCCTAGTCTTACATTTATGCAAATCTTCATTAGAACAACAAATAGCAGTAAGAATGGCAGCTAATTAACCCTCAGTCATACACAGTGATTAAACGGAGCTGGAGCACAGCTGCAGCTTCACTGGCAAGCGCTGCTATTCTTCTCCAGCAGGCTGAGCAAATGAAAAGAGGTATTTGCTCCTGCCGCTCCTGTCATTCACACAGTCATCTACAAAAGCCATGGAGAGAGTCCCTTTCCTCCTTGGTTATACATCACTGCCCTTTGTTCCCTATCACTCCAGGCAGGAGTGAGTTTGTCCTTTTTAAACAACTAATACAGTCCTTTACTCATAAGATGTCTCAGCCCCTTCAGTCCTGATTATTATTAATTGTCTCTATTTTGCTTGGCAGTATCAGCCAGGAAACTGTGTTAATGAAATGTCTGAATTTTGTAACAGCTGGCTGACTTTTTCGTGGGGCGAAAGGGTGCCGTAGGGTTTGTGTATGAGTGAACATGTGTGAATTATCTGGGAGTGCGAGAGAGCCAACTGGAATGGTATCAGAGAGATGGGAGAGATGATGGGATACACTAGCATTCAATCCGGGGAGTTGTATTTTTTTTAAGGTGGTACTCTGGGGCACAGCACGCATCTCTTTCTACAAAGCAGGGCCCCAATCCTGTAAATATTTTGGCATGTGCATGAACAGCCCTACAAAACCTGATAGATACATTCATCTGCATGAAACCGAGTATGTGAGTAAGTGCTCATAGGCTCTGTGCTCAAGTGCTGAAAATACTTCCAGTGCTAGCTGCTAGGGCTTGCCTGCATGGGTAGTTACTTATTTCAGAGTAACTCCATGTGTGGACACTCCCCTCTTTGAAAATGTATTCAGGCAAGTCACGAAAAACTGTCTTACTTGGAGTAAAAGTCAACTGTACTTTAAGTATTCAAGTGGAGTCCGGGGAGTGTAAATTCCCACATTGCCTTAATCCAAAGGAGCTTTCAAGTGTGGATGGCCCCTGAGGTTTTACATTTTTACTGAGCTTGAAGTATGAAAACAAATTAATTATTTTTATATTTAGAGAGCTGGTGATGCTGATCTGGGTTAAAATGCTTACTGTTCTCGGTTGGTCGTTGCCACCCCAGCCCTGCCAAAGGTTCTCGAGCCCCAGGAAAATTCTCATTTGCAAATGCTTCAGAGAAAATAAATTCAAACACCGACAAGACAGCACTGCAACTTTTTTCTTCACGTGGCCTCTTTCTTCACACGTTCAAAGTCTGAACTTGGCTGGCCTGATTATCCCTGATGTCTGAACAGTCTAACATCGAATCATGTCTGCTTAATAACACGCGGCTAAGCCTCAATTAGCACATCAGGACAAAGCCTGCTACTTCTCCCTCTCACCAGCCTCTTCACTTTTGGTGTCATCCTCTGCCTCCAGCTCCTTCCCGTTTTTCCCACACACAAGTTCCATGGTCAGTGGGGATTTTATCCCTCAGCTGATGATCCCAAACCGAATGCTTCGGCCCTACTCCTGCCCCTGTTCCTGGGGCGGTGGGCCGTGCCCGGCTGCGAGCTCCTGCGATGGGGCTGTGCGCGGTGGTACGGAAAGGGGCAGCCTAAGGCGGGGAGCAGCCACGGCATTGCTTTCCCACAAATGTGCCCGGTTAGGCTGAACACTTGGCTGGCAGCTGTAAGCAAAGTAACTACTGAGGGACTCTACAGAGCCGCGCTTGCTTTGCTTTTTAGAAACCTCTGCCTGGTTTCTAGCCTGAACTGACTCACCGGAATTTTATATCCACTTGTTTTTAAGCAAGTGTTATTCTGTACCATTTTCCCATTTTTCATTCCTGATGTATTAATGGAAGAACCATCCTCTTTCCTCCTGGTCTTTATTTGCCACACGGGAACCAGACCTGTGTTAGCCTCCTTCCCTAAGAGAGGGCTTTCCATTCCCCCGCTCGTCCCCGCAGCCCTCTCATGCCCCTGCATGGCGTTGCAGTCATCCTTCCTGAGCCTGCCTGACTCGTGTGGAGTTCATCGGGGCATGAGGCACAGCTAGACAGACTAACCCGCTCAACATCATCCTCATCCAGGTGGAAATATTTACTGCTCCCAGTTGGATGTCCCTAAGTCACTGGCAGCCCCGCCAAAGGTTATTTCTCTCTTAGCCGTGTCATTTTCACTGTTTGTCTGATTTCTAATGCAATTTAGTGAAATGATGGAGAAAGGAAAAGGAAAGGGAAAAAAGGAAAAGGAAGAAGAAAAAGAGGAAGGAAGAGAGAGCGAAAGAAAGAAAAAGCTTTTGCTGGAAAAGGGCATTAACCTCTGGCAAAGGAAATACATAAACAACTGCCCGCGGTACTCGCTTCACCTGGGTCAGCAGTAGCCCGGTTAGTTGGTCTGACTCTGCTCTCAGATACTTCAACGGCACATTATATTAGCAGTGTGAAGCTGCTTGTCTCTTGTTATCCTTTAAACCCACCAGAAAGTGTGGGACAGTTTGTTCAGTGTTACATGTAAAGTTTACCATGAACATAGTTTGAGATCGAAGCGTACGTGTCCTCGCAGTAAATGTACTTCTGAATGAGTTGGACAGGTACCGCTACATTACTTTGAT